TGGAAGCCTCAAGTAAGAACACACAAGTAGCTGTCACTTCCACACTCCTTACATATTAAGCCCACAGCTGTCAAACACAGTAGGTTACCGCTGCCCTCTGCCTCTCACAGACCAGGAGAACACAGCCCAGGAGAACACAGCCCAGAGAGTAAACAACTTGCCGAGGACCACACAGCAGTACCTGGGCCTTCTAGCTTTTTTTTTTTTTTTGGTTTTTTTCTCCGGTACCGGGAACCGAACTCACGACCTTGCGCTTGCCCGGCAGGCGCTTTGCCACTGAGCTAAATCCCCACCCCCTCCTTCTAGCTTTTGAACTTGTATTCATACCCACTGCATAATTTGCTTCTGAGTGTGCCCTTGTTTTTGCGGGTGTGTGTGTGTGTGTGTGTGTGTGCGTGCACAAACATTTGCACCTATAAATGCGGTTCCAGTGTGTTCAATATGCCTGGCTGTTGACTTGAAATATTTGTGTGCAGGGGCACAGCTGAGTGTGTGTGTGAACTTGTGTACTGTGCCCACGATGGTCTGCGTGCTGGTCTGTGTAACGGGCTGTGCAGCCCCGCCCCCACCCATGCTCCCCCATTCCTGTCTCGGCACCCTGGCATCACAGCAGGCGCCGCGGGAGTCCCCGGGGAGCTCAGGCAGAGCCTTCTCACAGACCCCAGGGGCTTCCGGTTTGCAGACCCAGCTGGGCAGTGGCACACATCGCCACCCCCTAGAGACCGGCCCCACCCAGAACTCCCCTAGAGACCGGCCCCCCCCTCCTCACTGCACGCTGAGCCTGGAGGCTGCCACCAAGTAAACTGCCATTATTAGATGATGGGGACTCTGCCTCCCACGTCCAACACAGACGCGCTCAAAGGTTCACGAAACCCCAGTGTCACCACCCGCCTGAGCCGACAGGGCTCCCGCCAAAAGCAAAGCAGCTCGGCGCTACTGCTGGCGCAGAAAGCCTACAGAGGAAACGCATGTGTGGGTTTTGAGGGTTTCTTTGCAGGTGGGAGACAGAGAAAGGTCCAGAAAACCAGCTTTGCTCTGTCTACCCTAAAGCGATGCTCGGAAGCAGAGCTTCCTCAGCTGCCGTAACACCGCCGCCAGGCCTCAGGTCCTCCACATCGAAGCCAGATGCGTCCAGCAACCTGCTTCCCCACAGCGAGGCTGCTCAGGACTTCCGGGTCCAGGGCACACTGGTGGGCAGAGGGGTGCCCTGACTTTTGAGGCGGCCACAGTCAAGGAGGAGGGGCCAGGTGCGGTGGAGAGGACAAATCCAGCCGTCAGGTTGGCCCCGAGGTGGTTGTTTATTTGCAGCCTTCAGGGAGGCAGAGCTGGGGACTGGCTTGTTGACTTTCCACACTTTCCTCCAAATCCTCTGCATACAGTCCTCCCCAGCCCCGGTGATAAATTCCCAGGTCCCAGGGAAAGCCACAGCCCCTCTGCACACAGCCATCTTTGTGAGGACGCGAGGGCTGCGGAGGAGGAGGGATGGCGGGGGCTGGAGATGCGAAGGTACCGTGCTCGGGCTCCTGCGCCTGCCCTTCCCTGCACTCGGGCAGGGGACCAGGAGCAACCGCCAGAGTCAGGGCGACAGAGACAGAAGGCAGAAGGAACTGTCTGGGCCAGCCGGGGGCCACTCCACGCCCAGCCATGGAATCCACATGCTTTCAGAGGGCCGAGAACAGATGAAACAAATCCTTTCTGTTGAGGCACGAGATCTGTTTGTGTTCCTGCCTCCCAGCCGGGGTGCCCACCGGTGTGCTCCTCTGGCACTGTGACTTCCCAGCAGAGGTGCTAGGCACTATCAGGGCTCAGATTTGAGATCCTCCTGCCTCAGCTGCCCAGAGACTGGGATGACAGATATGGGATACCGTGCCCGGCTGCCAACTTTTTTTACTATAGATGCCACTATCCTCCGCAGTGGATGAAATGAGCTGGGCAGGTAGTGAGGACCCTGCCTCAGCAGGGTGACCCCACTCAGGCCTTGGGGGTAGGGCATACACGCCCACCAGACCGAAAGCCCAGCCTTTGAACCACAGGGTGCCCCAAGGCAGCGTGGGTGCAGTCCCTGCATTCCAACCCTGGCCACACACTGTCCCTCTCTCGCCTAATCTCATGCGTACAGCAGAGACCAGATGACTGCTGTCCCTCTGTAGGGAATGGAGGCCCAGCCAAGCCGTGTGGCTCTCCCCACCCCTGGCCTCCCTGGCTCTGCCCTCTGTCTTCTGAGGCCCAGCTCCCCAGGACACAAGGCAGGGTGGAAGGACAGCTGCGATATGACCCCCTGCATTCACCAGGCTGGTGACTACCAGAAGCGGCAGGTGAGTGCTAACCTCCCAGGTGACTGTACTGGAGACAGGAACACAGTGGCTCATTTGGAGGTGGCGATTTGGCAGCTTTTCCCCACCTGGAGAGGGTCTGTCTCCTCTCAGGTGAGCAGTGAGTCACCTCTCACCATGTCCCTCAGTCACCTCCAAGTCCCCACTGTCTCCTGGCCCCGGCTCCACACAGACGCTCCAGCAGGCTGGTGCCACCCAGCTTTTGATTCCTACGGGCTGTGGTGCGAGCCAGGCTCGGCAGGATGTGTGGAAAAACAGGGCAGGGCTGGAAGCTCCGGGGCCATGTTAGCAGGCAGCACCTGTGTTGCTTCCTGGTCACCATGGAGAACTAGCAGGGCCCTTACAGCCAGCTGGTGTGGTGGAGATGGACAGCATGGTTCTGGAGTCAGACACTCCAGACTCAAATCTGTCTCTGCCTCTCATAAGCTGTGTGTCTTTGAAAAAGGTACTTAGCACTGGCCGTGGTAGCGCACGCCTGTAATCCCAGCACTCGAGAGGCTGAGGCAGGAGGATCATTGTGAGTTCGAGACCAGCCTGGGCTACAAAGTGAGCTCAAGGCCAGCCTGAACTGCATAGGGAGACCTTGTCTCCAAAAGACCAATAAATAAATAAATAAATAAATAAATAAATGAAGAAAAGGGTACTTAGCATCTCTGAACCTCAGCTTCGCCATCTGTGGAAGGGAGAAGACATCCTAAACTCACAGGGATGTTCGGTAATGGCTTGCTGAGGTCACCGTCTGAGTGCTCCTGATTCCCAGAAGGCACAAGGGAGGAAGAAAGGCCATGTGGGGAAGGAACTGGCTCCACAGTTCCAGCTGAATTTGTACCACGAGCCTGGTGGTACACACCTGTAATCCCAGCACTCAGAAGGCCGAGGCAGGAGGATCACTTCAAGTTGGAGGCCAGCCTGGGCTACATAGTGAGATCCTGTCTTTTAAAAAAAATGAAATTGGGGGTGGACAAGCCTAAACCACCCCTTCCTCAGTACAGCCCATGAGCTTTGCTAATTCCAGTGTTTAGAAGCTTGAAATGCACTCGGCACCCCCTGAGGGTTGGGGGAGCAGAGCAGGGAGTGACACGTGTCATTTTGATGACATGCCTGTGCTCCCCCATATCTCTGTGCATTCTCAATCCTAAAAATACTGGCAGTCTGAGTTGCTGCTCCTCGGGGAAGCACGTGCCAGCTGGCAGAGAAGAGCTCATGAAGCACCCATGTGATATTCAGTGAGGGGACAGCCACCACTCCTCCACCTGCCGCCATGCCAGAGCCAGGCCCCGGGCACAGGCTTACATCACCCACTAGCCTCCTCTCCAGCCAGGCCAGCAGCAGCCAGGAAGAGGAGCAGCCGCCCCCAATTCCAGGAGCCTGAGGTCTCTCTGCCCTCACCGCCCACCCATGGCCCCTAAAGCCAGCACTGGAGCTGGATGGAATGACTCTGCTACAGATCTAGTCACGCTCAGACCACCGACTGCCAAGCAGCACCCTTCCGCCCTGGCACAGCCGGATAAAAAAGGAAACTTTTCCTGTTGCCCCGGAAAAGAGGGCAAAGGTGGAGCTCAGGGTCCCAAATAGAGGAGGCGGGGTCCCCTGGAGACACTCAGGGACCCTTCCCCCTAGGAAGACCGGTTCCTACCACCGAGGCCCCCCTGCGGGGCTCACGAGGAGTCCCCATTACACACCACCATAGGCGCCTTTAACTCCTCGCGCAGGAGTGCCAGGCACTGCACTGGGCCTGGGAAAATCCGTGGAACACCCTCGCCCCGGGAAGTCGAGCACAACTCCAGATGCAAGGACCATAAAGGTCTTCCTGACGTCCCTAGTCCCTGACCGTGGAGCCGCAGATCCTTCTTCCCCTCCACAGCTCAGCACCCAGGATGGAATCTCCGGGGCCCTGAAGTCCCCCGAGGAAGCACATCCGCTAGCGGGAAGGGTCTGCCTCATTCCAAGGCCCTGTCACCAGCGCCACCCCGTCCCGCACAGCGCCGGCCCGCAGCCTTTTCCAGTCCGCTCCCGGCGCCTAGCACGCCGCCCCGAGTTTATGAATCACTCCCTCCTGTCGCCGGCCTCGCCTCCGGAAGGGCTGCGCACACCCAGACACATCGCCCAGACAGACACCCTGAGTTTCCACCCCAAATCCTCCGGCTGAACCCGAGGACCAGCTGCAGCGTCTGGTTTCTCCTCCCCACTCCTCGGCCTCCGGGGTCACTCTCCAAAGCCCAGGCGGCCTGGCCCCTGCCCTGCCCCGGGCGCTCGGAGGGGGGTCTCACTGGAGGGCTGCGGGGGCCGCAGACAAAGGCGGTATTCTAACTGAGAGGCCCGAAGATGAGCCTGATTTCCACGCCCCAAAGCCCCGCGCTCCCACGAGTGCGTATCTGGAGTGGGTGGCAGCCGAGTGGTCGCGGCGGCGCACGCGAAGCTCCGCGCTCCGCACGAGCGGCGTCTGCTGCTCCAGGGAGGAGACGCGTGTGCCCGGCGGATGAAAATCGGGTCCTGCGGGATGTGGGCGCATCGTGGGGTTTTCCATAAGCCGGGAACTCCCTCTCCAAGCCTCCGATCGTTCTCTTCTTCTTCCAAAGTTTGGCGCGCTCGCCAGGACGCACAAGGCGCAGCAGGGCCGCCTCCCCCGACCCGGGACGAGGTTCCGGGACCCGGCGCTCCACTTACCTCGACCGCCGAGCCTCCTCCGACCCGGGCGGATCCGCTCTCCTCCGCCGGCGTCCAGCGCGGGCCGCATCCGCTCGCGACTCGGGCTCCGAGCCGGGCTGCGCGCGCT